CCTCAGTCCTACCTGACCTCCTTGGGGCCAGGACGCACTAAGCAGCCGGAGACGGCAGGGCGAGGGCGAAGGCGGCTGAGTCTGGACGGAGGAGTGGACGGGGAGCCCTGGAAACTTCTTCGCTCCTAAGAGAGGACGAAAGAGACAGGAGAAAGGAAGGGAGGGAGGGGGCAGCAGTGGCAACAGCTTGCTTGAAAACTCGGGCTCGCAATGAAAAGCATGCGTTCACCCAGTATCTTAGTGGATATGTAGCTTATGCGCCCTCGGCTGGAGGCCCCAACCCCTCGGAACAGAACCCCCCAGCCTTCGACACGAGCGGCCCTGTGACTGGTCTGGCCACCGGCCTGCTATGCAAGAAGTCTCTGAGTTGCTAGCACCTGAGAGGGAACGGGACTAAATGACTAAATGGCTGCAAGAGTACTTTGTCACATGACTGCTTGACAGCACGGGCGCGCGCGCGCCCGCCTGGAACTGGACGAGCAGCGAGTGGCCGCTGCTCTATCAGGAAGGGGCTGTGCCTCGGGCAGCCTCCTCCTTTGCCTTGATTCGGGCGTGCAATGCTGCCATACGAGCCTCGTAGGACAGGACAGAATCGGGATTCGATCGAGCGACGCTTGTGGCACTCGAAGAGGGCTGGGCACTGTCGAGGGCGACTCTCTGAAGGGGCGCGACAGAATCTATGCGTCTGGCCAACCTCTTATGCGGGCCGGCGCCCCTCCTGAGATTTCGCAGCACTTCGTCACCCTTAGACGTAGGCTTCACGCATGGGGAACGAAGCTTATCTTTACGACGCTGCTGAGCCCAGGCCCCACACAAATAACAAACAAAAACTGGAGCTGTGCAGGCAGGCCCCGCGCAGCTCCAGCTGGACACGCCCCCCTGGGAAACAGCAACCAACTGGTGGCCCAGGGGATTTTGCCTGAAGTCTCTCAAAAACTTGGGCAACCCTCTGCAGCCCAGCATGGGCCTGTCTCGTCCAGGCTCTAAAACGCTGAGACAATTACTACACTGTGTGCCGATAGAGGTCCTGCACCAGTCATGCCAGTTCTCTTTCATAGTGCGCCTCGACCGCTCGAAAACGGGAAGTCTGGAAAACCTCTCCTCAAGCTCAAAACACGGGAGAACGTGGGCACACAACTTAACAAAGTGATTGGCACGGGTGCAAGCTTCCTCAACTCTCACAAGGAACTCAGGAGAAGCGGACGGGTGCAAGAGCGCAGCTTTTTTGGCGAACACACCGGCAACCACGTTGGCGTCCGTGATGCGCCTATCCTCGTCCGAGAGCGCCTGGTACTGCTCGCCAGACTTGTGGGCCTTGACGTGGCGGGCGCTCTGAAGTTGTCGTAGCCGCGCATCTGGTGGCCAAAGAACTGCACGCGCGAGTACATTGACCTGGCCTGCAATTGTTCCGGCTTCGACTTCAGCGCCGCCTTCGCCACTGCCATGAAATCTGCATATGCCGTCGACGGTCGGTCGGCGATCTGCCCAACGAACGCCATGCTCAGGAACTCCGCCATCGCTGACGACTGGGGCATGGCTCTCGGAACCGCGCCGCACATGACTGCAACTGGTGTGTCAGCCGCAGGGTTCATCAGCACCACAGCCCACCCAGCTCTCTGAAGAGTGACCAGTGAAGGCTTGCTGCAGGATCCATCAACTGCGAATTCCAACCTGTCACCTTGTACAAGTTGCTCAGCTAATTGTTCAGGTTCAGCATCAATATCTTCACCTTCAGGAGTGACTATATGCGCCTCAACACCTGGATCGAGCTCTGGGATGTCGCTGTCCGCGTAGATGAAGCAGCCATGGGTGAAGCATCTCTCATCTGGATGATCAAAACCTGCTTGGATAAAGGATGCTGGCACCTCAGATTCGGCTCTGGCTGCAACCACCTCTGGCAAGGAACAAACAAACAGCCTGTGGTGAACCGTATCTGCTGCTCCACACTTGCAGCGACCATCAGTTTGGTTACCTCTGAGTCGTGCTCGCTCCTTGGTCCAATGACCTTCCACTGCCGACGTTCGAACAAGAAATTGTTGAAGTTTATTGAGACGACGGCTCTTGGGGCGAACTGCTGCTCGAATCAAATCAAACGAAACACGAGATCCTGGAGGCGCTCCCCATTTGTCGGCCAAGGTCATCTCAAGTTGACGCTGCATGGCTTTGCCCATGAGATCCTCGAGAATGCCAGGCGTGAGTTGCTCCAGGGGAATGTCAGCTCCACGGTGATCTTGCCATACTGTACTTGCCTGAATTGTCCAACCAACTCTGTGTACACACAGTGCTGCGCGAACAAGGGGACCTCTCGTTTCCTTCCATTCCAGCGCTGCAGCATCAAGGTGGAGTAAAGCCTTGTCCCACCATGACTTGAGCACCTGCAAGGAAACAACTGATGTGTCTGGCTGCGATACTGCCATCCACACCATTCGACTCCATTGCAACGCTGGTGTCACAGCCTGACGCAATGCGGGGTCGCCGTCTAATACCAGCTTTGCTGTGATCGAAACGCCTCCGTGGAAGGGTTTGACCTGCCTGCAGTAATCACGACGCAGCTGCAATAACTCAGCGTTGTCCAGTCCCAATATCTCCACTCCGTAAGTTAGCGCAGGCCTGGCGCCAGCGCGAAAAACTTTGCCAATCCTTTGCTCTTTAAGCTCAGGCAAGGCCCTCTTGTACCGTCTTAGCTTGAGAAGACGCTGACGGTGCTTGGCCTTGCGCTTGGACATCTTCGCTCGGGTTCTCGGTGCCGCGCGAACTCTGCCTGCAGCCTGATCCGTGCCAAGATAGGTGGTCGATGTGACTGCCTTGTCTGCCGAAAACCCGAGCTTGATAGCAACTTCCCCAGCCAATTCTCGCGCGTTGGCGAGGACTGCGAACTTCTCATTGATGGTGGCTCCAAGTGCTGCGGCCGTCCCCAAGAAACCTTTGCCAGCTTCGACCGCGAGGGAGATGACTGAGGATCTGCCTGCGCTTTCAACTCCCATGCTCGAATCGTCTATGTAGCTGGCGAAGTCGACTAAGGGATGGAGCGCCACGTAATAATCGCACTGCTCGACGGCGTGCACTTTGATGGCTATGTCAGCCACCCCGCAGCCAGCAGGAATACCATACTCCGCATGTCCAGGTTGATTGCCGTGATGCTGCAGCAGTCGGATCAGTCTTGGTGCACGCCAGGTGTTGTAGGTGAGCTTGACTGATGCCGTGGCCGCTCCGAAACGAATAAACTTCTGCCGCAGCTGCTTCAACCCGATGTTCTCGTAATACTTCGAATAATATGCCATGAGCGTGACAGAAAACCGATCTGAGGCTGTGCTGGCTTCTGTACGAGCTGCTAACTTCCATGCGCTGTCGATTGGACTGCGACCTTTGCCAGCGCCCCAGTATTTCCTGTCCAACACCTTCATAAACTCATCATATTCGCATCTTCTCATCCTTTGCCAAACGCGGTAAGCCGACGCGCACAAGGTAATGAGACGGTGGCCTCCCTGAGGATTTGGCAACATAGGCATGATAATCCATGCCAATTGCTTGGGAAGTATCCCAAGTGATTCCATGGCTTCGTACAGAACTGCTAGCACTCGCAATGCATCGTCACTGAGATGCAACAGACGTCGTGGATGAAGTCCGTCGAGACCCGCTGACGTGGTGCTTGGAAAAGTGCGAGCGGCTCTGCGGATATCCTCTGGTTCCGCTCGCCGATGAGAGCTTCTGTCGGGAATCCAAGCTCTAGGGGCCTCCGTGGAACTTCGCCATGTCGATTTGTATTCAGCTTCCATAGCGGCAACAACATCATGAGGATGAGCTGAATATTTCCCAGCGCTAGTTACAACTGTGGTGGGAGCCTGTACTTGGCGAACTTGCGTCAGCCTGTGAAGGCCTCGAAGTCCTCCAGCGCTGGCTTGTCGACACCAATATTTCCATCTCGCTTTACTGTCTCTGTCGGCTTCCTGAAATGCTTGATCAACATCGTCTTGCCATTCGTCTTGCAACTCACGTATGGCGTCTGCATGAAAATGACCGCTGACGGCTCGACGTGCTTGCTCGACACTGGCGTCCAACCTGCGGTTTAAGCCTTGCCCAGGGTATGCGGATGACTGCAGAAGGAGAATCTCGTCTTGCAACTTGTTAATCTCCTCGGGCTGACGGCTTTCACGCAGTTGAGCAATTCCTGTCATCATATCAGAAAGCCATTTCCATCCGTCTGCACGCGCTTGGATACCAGGGACGTCCTTCAGCTCATAGTGGATGTCCACCCATCTTGGCTGTAGGAACTTGGAGTATGCGCCGTAATGTTTGACCTCTGTGCCAGTAATGTGAGCAATGCGACGGGCTGCTTGCTCGGCGAACTGACCCCATGCCAACGCTAGAAGACCCCAAGCTGCATCTGGTCGTGCTTCTTTAGCTAGAACCAACGCATCATCAGCATACCTGGCAGTCCGATTCCAGGGATCTTCCGGCCAGTGAGGGCCTGCAGGGATGACTGGTGTCAACTTCGGCGCCGCGCCGTAGGTCAAGACTTGCAAGGACTTGCCTACTGCCGCCGTATGCAGGTGAACTGGCCTATGCGGCTTGATGTGCCACTCGGCGTCCACCGTGACGGTTCAAACAAGTAGCATAGCGGCCTCGCTCAGCGCGAAGTAGTCGATCGTGGATGCTGAAGTTGGAGTGCGGCAGGTGACCTCTCTCGGCGCAGTGATCTCCACATGCGCATGTAGCGGAAAGGTCGACTCCTCAACGACATCTGTGCTCATGTTCCAGTCACCTCCGATGAGTGCTGGATGAGTGAGCCCAGCCATCTCTTCTCCAACTTCGGCAAGAATGGCCGCATTCCTGACTGTCATGCCCTCGCACGCGTGGAGGTAGATGTTGAATATACTCAGGGTCGGCCAGCCTGGAACATCCACTTGAATGTGCTGCGCTCTATGTGCAACTATCTCCGGCGTATTAGCTGCAGGTGGCCAGCGCAGACCAATACCATTGCGAGCAAATGCTGCGACGCCTGCCGTGGGAAGGTGACCTGCTGTGGGAGCTCCTGGCAGCGCGATGACTGACCAACCCATCTTTGCGGCGAAACTGTAGAGCTCCTCCACGTCATGGGTAAAGTACCGATCTCTTGGGCCGGGATGATCTTGGCCTTGCTTGCTTTGACTCGCTTCTTTATCGCATTGCGCCCCTGGTTGGCGTTGAAGGTCTCAATCAAATGCATCTGGAGAGCGCTCTCGGGAGTAGCTGGAGCCTGACTGCGACCACCACATACTCTGAGGCTGCTCACTCTTGGAAGCTGATCTCGACTGGCGTTAGACAGATGCTGCGCGCCTGATTGCCAGTTTGCATGAGCTGCTTCCAACGACTGCGGCAACGAGTCCGTAGACGAGGACTGCCCAGGGACCCCCAAGATCCAGGGAACGCCTATGATGAGATCGTTGGCATGTGGCCTGCATCCAATATCAGACTGACCATTCCCATCAGCTGCAGTACTTCCACCAATAGCGGAGGCCGCAATAAACTGAACTGACGAAGCCGAGCTCATCGAAGTCGGCCCAGTACTGGAACTGCGTGGGCCATCTCCTCCTTCGTCGATCCACTGACCTTGGAGGGTAGCGGTGAACGTGTTAGGAGCCAGTCGCGCACTGACCTGGAGCGCCATGATCAGGGCTGCGAGTGCGACTCCTCTTGACTTTGTGGAGCTTGTTGATGAGCTCGAGCAGCTTGGTGGCCTCGTCGCCTTGGGCTGCGGCGCTCTGCAAGTCGTTCCACAATTCTTGAGCTTCCTGCAGGTTGAGTCCGTCATCGGTGCCACGCTTGTTGCTGGCGTGGGTGCCCGCTGCGGGTGGAGGTTGCTGCTGCTCCGCCTGCGGCATGGGCACATCCTTCTTCTTGAACTTCTCTCGAATGAACTGCTGGTACTTGGTGAATACGGGGTCGGCCGAGAACGTGGCGTAGAACTCCACGAGTTCTGGCACGGCTTTGACCTCTTCGCTCTCCGTATCCAGCTTGAACGTCTCCTCATCGAGCGCCTCATCCTTAACGTTGGTCGAGGGCTGCTGCGGGTTGAGCTTGGCCGCAATCTCAGCGACCTCCTGCTGCAGAATTTTGACCTCGGACGTCTTGGCGATGATCGCGCTCTCTTTGCCTGAAATATCTTGTTGTAGCTGTGCCATGTTGCGCTGCAACTCTTCCAGCTCGCTCTGCTGCCTGACCAACTGCTGCTTGGACTTCTCGAGCTTCTGCATCGCCGTCTTGTGCGCTGTGGCAGGAGGCCGCAGCGCTTTAGCCTGAGCCCGAAGATCTTCGAGCGCAGCCTTGTTCGCGTCGTGCACGGCGCCGCCGAACTCGGCAGTGTCCCTGACGACCTTCTCATACACCTCGATCTGCTTGAGAATTTCGGCACGCTTAGCCTGAGCTGGGTCCTGAGCAGCGGCTGCTTCTTCTTGTGACTTATCACTGTTGCCACTCTTGACTTTGCGAAGCTCCGCCTCTGTGGCCTTGAGGCGCCGCTCCATCTGCTGAATGTACTTGAACTCGGCGCTCCATGGGGCTGGTGACGGGCGGAGACCTGAGCCACCAACTCTCTTGGACGGAGCGCCTGCTGCTGCTGCTTTGTCTGCCTCACGAGCGGCGGCCACCACACGCATCGGCGCGCTGGCGCCGCACAAGCATGTGACTCGGCTCGCCCAGTTGGCCGCGCGGCCACAGTGGCTGCAGCCCCAGTGCGGCTTGCGCGGCCCGCGCAGCACCGCAGGGCTCGGCACCATGGCTTCGACTCTGCTTGGGAAGGGGCTTGGATCGACAGGCACCTTCGGTCGGGATCGTGATCCCCTGAAATAGACTGGACTGGTTTGGAGAGATGCCTCAAAGCGGAACCTCCCTCGCGCTCAGTCGCCCCGAAAGACTCGCGGTCGTCGGGACGGTTCATTGCCTTGAGCCAAAATGGCTACGGAGAGAGAGGGAACGGGAGGAGGGAGGAGGGATGAGGGAGAAAAGGATGGCTGGCCTGGGCTGGCCTGGGCTGGCCTCGACTGGCCCGGGCTGGCCTCGGCTGGCCCGGACTGGTCGCGGCTGGCTCAGGCTGGCCTGGGCTGGTCGGGGCTGGCCTGAGCTGGCCTCGGATGGCCTCTGCTGGCCTGGGTTGGCCTGGGCTGGCCCGGGCAGGCCTGGGCAGGCCCGGGCTGGCCTGGGCTCGCTCTCGCTGGCCTCGCCCCAGAAGGAAGGAGCAGGGATAAGGGAGCAGGGGGCAGACGAGAAGCGAGGGGAAAGGGGCGTCTTGGGGCGCGCTCAGGGCCATTGATGGACATCTTGGGGGCCTCTATATATGGGGAAGAATGTGAAATACGTGGACGGAAGTGGTACGACTCGGGAGGGCTTGGGGGAGGTGTATATAAATACGCATATAAATATGTATATGTGTGTATATATATGAGTGTGTATTTGTGTATATATATATATATATATATATATGTGTGTAGACCCATACGTAAGACATGTAGGATTGTGAACACAGGAGAAGGACAATCTATAGAAACGTAGTGCGTCGTCCAAGGCGCCTCGGAAGGCGCCTCGGAAAACGCAGAATACTCCTCCAAGGCGCGGAATCATGTTCCCGGACCGCCTTCCGGGAACATGACGGGGACGACCTTCTGAGGGCCTCCGGTGGGCTGGGCCTCTTGGGGGCCTCTCGGAGGCCTGTATATATACATTATATATATAATATATAATATATAGACCCATACGTAAGACATGTAGGACTGTGTACAGAGGAGAAGGACAATCTATATAAACATAGGTACGACGTCCAGGGCGCCTCGGAAGGCGCCTCGGAAAGCGCAGAATACTCCTCCAAGGCGCGGAATCATGTTCCCGGACCGCCTTCCGGGAACATGATGGGGACGACCTTCTGAGGGCCTCCAGTGGGCCTCTTGGGGGCCTCTCGGAGGCCTGTTGGGGCTGGCGTCTTGGGGCGCGCTCAGGGCCATTGTTGGGCATCTTGGGGGCCTCTATATATGGGGAAGAATTTGAAATACGTGGAAGGAAGTGGCACGACTCGGGAGGGCTTGGGGGAGGGGTATACATATATCTATATATATATAATATATATATGTATATATGTGTGTGTGCGTATATATAGACCCATACGTAAGACATGTAGGATTGTGTACACAGGAGAAGGACAATCTATAGAAACGTAGTACGTCGTCCAAGGCGCCTCGGAAGGCGCCTCGGAAAGCGCAGAATACTCCTCCAAGGCGCGGAATCGTGTTCCCGGACTGCCTTCCAGGAACATGACGGGGACGACCTTCTGAGGGCCTCTGGTGGGCCTCTTGGGGGCCTCTCGGAGGCCTGTTGGGCTCTCCTGGAGGCGTCTTGGGGCGCGCTCAGGGGAATTTTTTGGCCTCTTGGGGGCCTCTGGGGGCCTCCAGGGAGGCTCTTGGGGGCCTCTTTGGGGCCTCTTGGGGCCTCGCGGGGCCCTCTTGGGGACCGCTGGGTTCGCTCAGGCAGTCTTGGAGCCCTGTCGGGGCTCTCCTGGAACCGTCTTGGGCGGCTCCTGGGCCATCTTGGGGCTCTCCTGGGCCGTCTTGGGGCTCTCCTGGGCCGTCTTGGGACCCTCTGGGGGGTCTCTTGGGCCGTCTTGGGGCGGTCTTGGGGGCTTCTTCGGCCGTTTTGGAGCGGTTTTGGGAAACTTTTGGACGGTCTTGGAGCGTCGGAACCCCGAAAAATCGAGAAAGCCAAAAACCTCGAAAAACATTATACAAATCAGCGATTTTGGCTTGTCGGGGCTCTCTTGGGAGGCCTCTTGGGATGCCTTCGGGGCCTCATGGAGCTCTCTTGGAACGTCTTCGGGCCTTCCAGGCCATTCCTGAGGCTATCTATGCGCGTCTTGGAGCGCTCGCGGGCCGTCTTGGGCGGTCTCGAGCTGTTCCTGGCGGTCCCAGGGGCCCTCCGGGACGCTTCGGACGCTCTCGGGGGCGCCCTGCACCCCCCATGGAGATGACATGCACCGCCCAGGGGCCCAACTCAGATTTATACATATATATATATATATGGACAACAATATAGCCTCTAGTTAGGGGCCACATGTGTATCCATGTCCACGGCCCCTCTGGTGCCTGGGAGGGGAAGGCCGTAACTCCAAGACGCAGCGGCTATGGATATGGACAAAAGTCCAGCCCCTAGGGGCCAGATCTGTACGGTAGGGGCCCGACCAGAAGAATCTTCCACAAGAGACCTAACCCTGAGACCCCAAGACGTCTGCTGATTGAGTCTTGTGGAAGCGCCACGCTTTCCATAGCAACGATGTTGAAACCCAAGAAGCCCAGGGAATCCTGGAGGCAAGCGGGGAGTTTCTTGGCATGGGCCTCCACTGTATATGTCCACTACCCCTTTGGTTTCTGGGGAAGGGAAGGCCGGAACTCCAAGACGCATGGCCATGGATACAAATCTTGCCCGCACATGGGAAGAGAACTCCGAGGAGGAATAGTTACCCTGAGGTCCTGGGGTCCCGAGATTCCCGAGCCGGGCACGTTCGCCCAGCTTGGGCCAACCCCAGGGCCAATACGGATCGGCCCGCCTCGAGACATGGCGCAGAAAGATGATCTGTTCCGGTGCTCCATCATGTCTTTGCGACGTGGGATCTCAGGGCAAGAGGGGGGGGAAGAGGAGGAAAGGATAATTAGAACTCAGAGGAGGAAGAGATACCGATATCGCTCCTGCTGCCCCTCCCTTGTCGCTACGGCTGGATTCGCCTCGAAATTCCTGGTCAAGACGCACCCTGGAAGGTCCACGGAGCAGCGAGCAGCGGCAAGTCAGAGTGAGAGGGCCGAACGGTCAATCATTGGCCCTGGGTGCGTGGTCTGTTGTCGTCTGTCTGTTGTCTGTTGTGTGTGGTGTTGTGGT